GTGACCTTCTCCTCCTCCTCCTCCTCCTCCTCCTCCTCCTAATATAGTGTAGTTAGGCACAATAGCTTTATTTTATTTATTTTTATGTGGTACTGAGGATCAAACCCAGGGCCTCACATGTGTTACATAAGCTCTCTACCACTGAGCCAACCCCAGCCTAACTGTAACTTTCTTAACAACATGGTAAGTCCCATGAGGTCCAGAGCTCTGTTCTTGGGCTTTTAGCCCCACAGCACATCAAAGTACTTGGCACACAGTAGGTACACTCACCTGTGATTTGGGGTCTTAACCCTTCCTTTGTCCAATTAAACTCAAAAGGTCTTAGATTAAGATATGTGGGGCAACCATTTCTGTGTACCTACTATGTGCCAGGTTAGATCCCAGACATGCAGAGGATAAGTCAAAGGTCCTGCCCTCGAGGAGTTCAGGGTTTGGTGCCACCCCCTGAGATCTTGTGGTCTTACTTCCTATTATCAGGCAGAATCTGAAGGGACCCAAAGGTTCCTAGAGATCTCATTCTACCCTTCAAGATCACGAGTCCACGGAGCAGGTGGAGGTGCACTATGGGGTTCCTCAGGGAATTTTTAGTGACTTTTGTGAATTTTGTATTTCCAAAAGAAGAAGAAAAACGGCCCCTGTGGTGTCCATCTCCCATTTAAATAGGAAGTCACCACAAACACATTACTGTCCCCTCCCACCCCCATACCCTATCCCACCTGTTCATCAACTCGATGACTCAGATGGACACATCCACATTCAAGAAGACCAGAGATCAAAGCTGTATCAGGCATGAACTACTTTTTATTCATAGGATTACAGAATAGATTGAATTAAGAGGCATATCATTTGTTAACTCTATTTACCAAAAAGAGCTAAATACAGATACAGCCTTAAAATGTATCCATTGTTGCCTGCATACTGCAAAACTTACTTTCATATGCATATAAACTATTCTTATGTTACCTAAGTTATGCATTTAAAATACATAAAACAGTATCAAATGGCATATTGGTCTATTTTATCACAGTTCTTATACATTCTTGATAGTCAAAAGGATGAATAGGGAATGCATAGTTACCTACTAGAAAAAGGTGGATTCTGACCCAAGCCATGGAGTACAGTCGCTCTGTGTAGATCTCAGAAGCCTTACAATGTGATTCTTATTTTAATCAGCATCACAATGGGTGATCTTCAGTAACCATTGGGACGCTGTTCATTGGCCTGGTCATCCTACCCTCTGCTTGCCTGGCTGAGGAAAAGGAAATCATGAGAATTTTTGTCTTTCAGGTTTGTTTCTATTTTCCCAAGATACTTTCCTTCAAGGCCATCTGCCCTGAATTTCTTCCTGTTGCCTCTCCGCGGTCCCCAAATATGGACCACCTTTCCCGTGGCATCTGCAACTAGCCTGAACCCAGCCTGCAGATGTCCTGGGCAGCGCACTTTCCACCCCAGTGCCCTGTTGAGTGGAATCCCTGGCCACTGTCTAACTAAAGAGCTGCCTTCCAAAGCTGTGAACGAGGAGCTGATAACTCTGCAGCTGAGACGCTGCAGAAGCAGAAAGCCTGCTGCAGAGATTTTCCTTAGGCGGCATGCAAGCAGACTCCCCTCCTGAGCACCTCGTCTCTCATTTTACCGCTTGCCAGAGAAATTTCCATCGTGAGCGCTCCTGGCAGCCAAACCTTCTGCACCCCACATTGATTTCTTTCCTAAAAATACCCAGCATTTCACTCCATGGGGAGGAAAAAACGCAACTCTGTCATTTTCAGTGAGCTCCCTAAAGGCTGACGAGGGCCCAGAACAATTCATCACTGCTCGTACATTTGGGTTTTTAATTTTTCTCTCACCAAACTCCTCTTGTTTATCTGGTGGATGGTGTGACAAGAAGCAGACTATGTCCAAACCTCAGCCTCCACCCACAGCGATGTGGGAGGAGACACCACCATGCCAAAATGAGATCCTCCAGGACAACAGAAGACTCTCGGAAGTTTCTGGAAGACTTTCAAGAATGGGCCTTTCCTGTTATAGCAGTTCCACGAAGCTTGTTCATTGTTAAAAAGAACCAGCGGATGGGCGGTGTCTGTGGGGTATGGTGTTCTTTCTGGCTTATGGATATTTTGTGACACTTCTTATTTATCCAAAGATGCTGCTGTTGCACAATCATGATAACATGAAGGTCTTTTGTGGGGAGGGTATTGCAGAATGTCACAGAATTAAAAAAAAATGGAATGCTGCCAGTCAGAGGAAAACTTCCAGTTTTGCCCCTCACTACTGATAACCAGAGGCAGGCAATCTTCTGAGCTTCTGAGTGTTATGTCCCTCTTTCTGAAATCAGAACACCTGCCCTCCAAGCTGAAGAATCATTTATGAATGTACATGGAAAAAACACAAAGCTTTGCTGAAATGCAAGGTGATTTGTGCACTGCTCATGAACACAGTGTTCTTCCCTTCTGAGGGGTTTTTAAAGTCTTTATGGAGACCCACTTTCCACCCCACGGGGTCTGGGGACAAGTCCCCACTTTAAGGCGGTGGCCTTAAAGCCACATGGCTGTGAGGAGGGACCAGTGCAGTAGCCTAGCCACAGAGATCATGAGGAACAGACAAGCTGAGCAGGTGGCCACCCCATGATGACAAGTGGCCCTCCTCCGGCCACCTCCATGAGGGGCACTCCTACCTGTCTCTCCGCTTTGGGCTTTTGTGGGCCTCATTTGGTTGGTTCTTGCTTGTGGGTTTTTTTGTTTTGTTTTGTTTTTACATTATTACTGGAGAAAAGCTTCTCGCAGAAGTTGCTTAAAACTCTAGGGATTCTCGGGATGGGGCCGTCAAATTAACGAAGCAGAACTTCTACCACCTTATGCCAAGAACATCTAGGCTCCCTTGGTAGTTTAGCCAGAACAAATCTCTCCTCCCACAGCCTAGAACTACAGGTTGCAGACTCCAGTCTTGTATAAGCTTTTGTAAAAAGGAAAAAGAAAATTGGATTACGGTACCTACCCTCTCACACCCTGCCCCCACCACCTTTGAGATCTTTCTTTTACTTCCTGATGCCCCGTCTGGACTCAACAAGCCCCCACCCCAAGCCCAGCACCTGCTGCTCCCTGGTTCTCCAATGCTAAGCAATGGTTCCCAGTGTGGTGAGTATAGGTGCCCAGTCCACAGCTTTACCACGCTGAGGTGGCACTGCAGAAAGATGTCCCATCTGCCTCTTCTATGAACTAATGGCTGGAACCTGGAACATCCTTTCAACCTGGTACAAAGGCAGGCACTGTCTCGGTGGCCCCTTACTGCTTGCCCAGGGCCTGTTTCTCCACCCTGGCCTGTCTGAGGGGTTCCATGCACCGGGAAGAGTTGGCCTGTCGTCACTGCTGGAGCAATAGCAGAGCTGTCCCACCTGCAGCCTGCGATGTGGAGATCTGGGCATCTGTAGGCCATTCAAATAAAACAAGACTGCAAAGAATGCAGAAAAGGGCTTTGTGTTCAAAAATGAAAACAAACCACTTTCCTCTGTTTGCTTGGTATTTAGTAGAAGAGTTGCAAAAAACACACTTTGGACCGTGGGTGAGCTGGTTCCCTAAACCCCCGGCTTCCTGGGCTGCAAGCCTTGGCCTGCGGTTCCAGAATGTTCCCAAGAGTGCTGATGCAACACCAGTGTCTCATTCTCTGAGTGCCATTGACTGCTCAGTCTGCGTTGCTCAAAGTCAAAAAACAACAAACACCTTCACATTTGTGGCAAGACATCCACCTACTCATGATGTGGCCAATAATCATTAAAACCTAATCCCACCCTGCAATTGAGAATTTCAGGGCTAGAAGGAGTTGCTGGGGTACTCTTTGCAAATCTCCGACTAAAGCATCCACCTCCTACCCTCTGAAGAGAAGCAGCCACCCAGGAAGAACATCCCCTAGGACACTCCCACAAAAGCAGACCCATGTGCTTCCCCGATATCCACACCAGAAGCCAGTTTGAGACAGGCCACCTGGTCCCCGAGCACAGACCTGTCTATGGGATTCAGCTAGTCTGGCTCTAGCTGCTCTCTCCTGCTCAGCCTGGAAGTCCTGCCTGTCCATGATGTCCCACCACCAATGTGGCCCTCTGCCGAGTGTGGGGCTCCAGGGGACTCCTTGCTAAAGCACTAGGAGAAGAGGGTGCGTTCCCATTATAAACACCCAGCTGGTGATTTGATGGCTGCAGCACCTTCAGCAGGGCATCGAGACCAGCAACTCAACAGGGCAGGACTGTCCTAGGAGGAGGGAGGTAGGCTGGGGGCAGGTAGGCAGGCTCCTACTCAATCACTTGAAATATTAAGTTGCCCAAAGGGCAAAGACATGCACAAACCAAAGAGCCACCTCTGGGTTTCAAAGCACAACGAGATCTGTGAAAAGTCCCCTTGGACTCCATAAATTCTCACTTCAAAAACTCTACCAAACGCACATCAGATGGCAATAGCTGCTCCGCCCCACTAAAGGACAGAGTAAAAAGCACCTTTCAGTCTTTGGCCTGTCTGCTAGTTACCCACAACACAAAGGAGGGGTCGGGGAAGCAGAGGAGTCACAGAGCACATCAAGCAAGCATTATTGCTCCGGCCCCCACAAGGGTCAGCTTTGAACCACGCCAGGGGAGGGAGGAAGTCCTCTGTCTCACTGCTGGGCCCGAAGCCCATGCTGGGCCTGGACAGGTGTCGCCAGACGTTGTCTCTGCGGCAGAGCAAGCAATGTCCAGCTTTACACTGTGAACACACCCAGGATAAATATCCCGCGGTATAAGCCAACAAAGAGCCAAGGTTCCGGAATGCAGGAGGACGCAGGAAGGCTGGGTGATCCTTTCAGGAAACTAGGATGGCTCAAAATAGCACTGCTGAGTGGTTTAAGATTTTTAAACTAATCATCAGCAAATCTTTTCAGCTGACTTTGGCTTTAACAGTTCTTACCAAAAAGATTGCTGAAATGAAATGAGAAGGGTCCATGGGTTTGGTTTTCCTTTTCTTTTTGTTTTTCCTTTTTTTTTTTTTTTTTTTAATTTTGCTATAAGAGCTATCCCGTCTTGTTCAATTTTCTCCTTCCTCTTTAAAAAGAAAGAAAAAAAAAAGCACATTACTTTCTAGATGGCAAGAGGATATGCTGTACTCTCAGAAATTACAGGTTTTGAGATGTCTTTTTAAATGGTAGAATGGGCATCTCATGCGGTTAGCCAATAAATGCAATCCCTGATTAAAATGTGAGTCCTAAAAGTTGGAAAACTTCTAACTATTTCCCCAGTGCAATTGAGATTGTCATTTCAGAGCTCTGAGCCTGGCTTATTGTATTTTATTATTTCTTCCCGGTCCTCTCTTCTGAGGGCTCACACTTCAAGTCTTTTAAACCCACCCGTCACCCTTCACAAACTTAAGTCGACAATGATGTGTTCAAAAATCTTTGTTTTCCCTTTGAAACTGGATGCAAAAAAGAAATCCCTCCTGTCGGTGGAGACGGCGGTGAAGGAACGAGGGGCCTGCACGTAGATCTCCTTGAACTTTTTGAACAGCTGCTTCTCCTTATCCCACTGGTAGATCTGTGAGAAGGTGTAGTCGCTGCCCAGCGCCAGGTAGTGGTTCTCTTTAAAGGAGAAGGGCTGCAGGGTCATGGCCCCTCGGGAGGGGAGCGCCTGGATCTCCACGAACTGCTTGCTGTTCCACCTCATGACCCGGGAGTCCCCGATGAAGCGGGTGAGGGACAGGTAGAGTGTGTTCTGCATCCTGAAGCTCTTCACAGCCAGCACGTCCTCCATGTTGGGGATGTCACCGTGGGGGACGAACTTCTTGGAGCTTTTATTCCACTGGAGGATGATGGGGACCTGGGAGCGGCTGGATAGGATGAGGTGCGACTTGCCATCAATGTCCACGAACTCGGCGTCCGTGTCGCGGAACCACTCGTGCACCGACTGGTAGGAGTAGAAGCCCTTGCTGTTCCACTTGTACACGGTGGACAGGCCGGCCTTGGAGCTGTCCGCGATGATGAAGAATGTCTCTGCGTCGATCTGGAACAGCTCGATGTCATTGGGCTTGGAGATGCGCGAGACCTCTATGTCCTGGAACTTGACGAACTTGGTCCAGCTCTCGTCGTATTTGTAAATGTGGGAGCCGCCGAAGAGCTGGGCCACCACCACGAAGACCTGGTCCTCGATCAGGATGGCCTTGCAGCCCACGATGGACTGGCCTGTGCCCCGAGAGAGGAGGGAGACCGACAGGTTAGCCTGGCACCTCCAGATGACCGCGGGACCTGTGGACAGCCACTGTGGGAAGCAGCTCGACAGCTCCCCCTGGAGACTTACGCAGAATGACCACGGGACCCCGAAGTTCCTCCTCCTGACATGCACCCCAAGAATGGAAGCAAGCCCTCAGAGGGAGCTGCACCAAAAGCTATTGGTGTCCTCCACATTCCTGTGTTGGATCCTATCTCCAAGGTGATGGTGTTAGAAAGTGGGGTTTAGGGGAGGTGAGTAGCGCCCCTATACAAGAGGCCCAGAGAACTTCTTCTGGCCTCCTACCATGTGAGCGTACAGCAATCAGACCACCTGCTATAACATAGAATCTGCCAGGGCCTTCATCCTGGATGCCTCAGCCTCCCAAACTGTGACAAAAAAATTCCTGTTGAGCAGCCCCATCCCAGACACCCACGCTCACAGCGTCATTCTCCATGACACCGGAAAAGCAGAAGCAGCTCCAGCGTCCATGATAGATGAAGGGACAGACAAGGTGTGGCTGACACATACAATGGAATATTACTCAGCCCTAAAAAGGAGGGGGAACTCTGACACATTCTACCACATGGACCTTGAAGACCAAGTGCTAAGGGAAACCAGCCAGGCATGAAAGGACAGATGCTGCTTGACTCCACATAGGAGGTGCTCAGAGCAGCCGAGACGAGGAGAGGGAGAGGGAAGACTGGGCTGAGGAATCAAAGTCGCTGTATGGTAGGTACAGGTGAAAAGAGTTCTAGGGATCACTGGAATGTATCTGACCCTATGAAATAAGTACACTAAAAGGGTTAAGATGGTAAATTTTATGTTATGTGTATTTTGCCACAATTTAAAAAATAATAATTTTTTTTTTTTTTAGTACCAAGGAATGAACCCAAGGTAGCCTGACCACTGAGCCACACCCCCAGTCCTTCTTTTATGTTTTATTTTGAGATAAGGTCTCATGAAATCCTTAGGGCCTCACTAAGTTGCTGAGGCTGGCCTCGAACTTGCAGTCAATCCTTCTGCCTCAGCTCCCCCAACCCCAGTTGCCGAAATTACCAGAATGTGCCACCAAAAAAAAAAAAAAAGAATTTTTAAAAATCTTTTAAAAATGTGCCACCATGGAAATGGGCATATGAGGTGGTTAGGGCCTGCCAGTCTGTAGAGGCAGGCATCCAACTCAGGAAATTCACTAGCACATGGGAGAAGTGTTTGGTGTTAGTCAATAATTGTACGTTAATTAGCTTAATGGGACTAGTCCACAGTGAATGCGTATTTCCAAATATCTCATATGTGATGAATAGTTACAATTTTTATGTGTCGATGAAAATATTTAAAATAAATATATATTTAAATAATATTTAAAATAAATATAGGTATATACATATTTTATCCTTAAGAAGAAAAAGTCTTTCTCGACTGGCAGAAGTGGGCAAGGGAACGGCTGCTCCCCTGGGTAGTAATGCAGGGTGAAGAGCAGGGGTCAGGCCTGAAGGCAGAAGTTCCCAGGAAGCCATGCAGACTCTAGAAGACCAGGGAGGTGGTGGGTGTTAGACCTCAGCCTCCACAGCAGGTGGCCTTGGGTTCAAACCCCAGGCACAAGGCGGTAAGGTCTGACCCTGGGCCAGGGAACTCAGCTCTGGGGCTCCAGCCCTCATGGGTACACGGAGAGGAAGGCAGCCGCGGAGCTGACCTTGCGAACCAGAGGACAGCTCACCCTGAGTGTTAGCACAGCAGGGCAGCATGGAGGGGCGTCACAACTGGTACCATCTTCACCCTACACCAGAAGCAACCTTCTTGGTGGTCAAACGGCCCTACCCCCAGTGCTCGCCCACAGTGGGCACTGTGCAGACACCCGCACAATGGGCAAGGTCCCCGGGGTCAAGGTCAGGCGTTTGATGGAAAAGGGGGCCGTGCTCCACAGGGACTCTCCTCTCTGGGTCACACCCGCGGTCCTGTTCCCCACTGTACCTGGACCTCCCCACTTCCCCATCCAGAAGCCAACCAGCAGGAGGACCAACAAGTCTCAAGGGTTTCCCACCCTCCGTCTCATCATTCCATGAAGCTATTTCCTGGAAGGCGTGGTGATGGCACAGGCCCGTCATTCATGACCGGGGAGGCAGAGGCAGGAGGATCTCAAGTTTGAGGTCAGTCTCTGCAACTCAGAGAGACCCTCAACAACTTAGCAAGACCCTGTCTCAAAATAAATAGAAATAAAAGGGACTGGGGATAAAGCTCAGTGGTGAGTGCCCCTGGTTTCAACCCCCAGTACCAAAAAAATTTTTTAAAGTTCTTTCTTTCCCTTAATTTGCTAGGTAATTTGGACCCAAATGAATTTGGTCTGTAAATTATAAGGATTAATTACCCAATGTCCATCCTGAGGATTAACTCTGAGGGCAGACGGTGGGTAATAGAGTGGTATTTACGATTCTCTTTCACTGTTCTACACTCCATCCAAGAGCCTGACCCCTTTTCTCAGTTTAAAACTAGGGCATTTTTTTTTCTGAATAAAAAGTGTTAAATGTTCAGCAAAACAAAATGTAAAAAATAATAATAAGTAGAACTAACAAAGTGGGTATTTACAACTAGGCACTACATTCTAAGCACTTTTGTGTGTATTTACTTATTTGATTTTCCCAATTACCATTTGAGGAAGGTACAATTCTTGTCATCAACATCCCCATTTTACAAAGGATGAAACAGACAGTGAAATTCACCAATTTACACAAAGTCACACAGCTAGTATGTCGTGGAGTCTGGGGTTCCAATCCAGTATTCTGTGACTCCTAAGTACCAAAAGGTATGATGAAGAAAATAAAAACCACTTGTACTATAAACATACAATGAGAATATCTTGATAGATTTCTTTAATCCATACACGAATTCAAATATGCTTATTTTAAAATATTGGAACTTATACTACACACATACCTTTTTCTCTTGACTTCTCTGTTGTATGTAAACATTTCTACAATTTGATTTTTTAAAATACTACACAGTATTCCAAAGCATGGATGCACCGTATTTTATTTAGCTAATCCCCTGCTGTTGGACATAGCAGTTATTTCTAGTTTTTCATTATTGTCAAATAACATGTTTCCTTTAACATATTGTCAAATAACTTGTTTTGGAACCATCTGGCAATGTTCATAAACACAGGAATTGCTGGGGCAAATGTTGTGAATATTTTTTAAGGCTTTGGGGCTTCAACTGTCAAACTGCTCTCCAAAAGGTGCATCAATTTCCACCCTCCCAACACTGACTGACAGTGCATGCTCCTGTCTCCTTCTGAGCATCCTGGCTGTGCAGGCCCCACTGCCCAGAGGAGTCCTAGAGGTCTGCCTGTCACAGCTAAGGGGACCCATGAGACAGTTTCTTGGAGGGGCTGCCTCACAGTTCTGTAAACACTTTTAGTCTCTATGGAGTTGTCAGTAGCAGCAGAGTGTGTGTGTGTGTGTGTGTGTGTGTAGGGAGAGAGAGAACAGGTTGGAACACACATAGCTTCTGACACCACAAAGCAAACAAACCCCTAAACCAAAACCAGGAGAGCTGAGATGTAGAGGGAATGAGAAGCGGCAGACACTGGCGTGATGATGACCCTGGTTCCTCCCTCTCCTTGGGGACAGACAGACAGCTGGAGCTGGTCCATTGGCACCGAGGTTACCAGGAACCCAAAGGGGGAAGCGGGTACCCCTCTGAGTCCTTGGAGCCCACTCTCACAGACACAGACTGAGAAAATCTTGCCTAGCCCTTGCTGACTCAGGGATCACCCCACAGCCACCCAAAATGACACGAGGGGACCTGGTCTGAGGAGTGGGGGAGGGGGGCATCCACATCCACCTTGATCCTGCGCCCCTGCGTGTCCACCTGTGCTATAGGATCTTCCAGGCTCATTTCCAGCTACCAACAGCCACGCTCCCTCAACCAGCCAGGGGATCTGCCCTGTCTGTCCCCACCCCCTGCCCCGCCTCCCTCAGGTGGTCATAGGGAGGCTTTAATTAAAGTAGACAGGGTCTAGGGTGGGGGGAAGAGGTCCTATTTTGTCCCCAGCTTGTTGTGGTGTCACTCCATGCCGGGCACTGAGCTGTCACACACCCATTGCCCATGAATCCTAACCAGAGTCCCGGAGTCCAAACCCTGCTGAGCCCATTTTACAGATGAAAAGTCATAAAATGCCCATTTCACAGGTAAAAGGAGCTCAAGCTAATTAAATAACTTGGTCACTGTCCCTGCTGGTAAGAGCTGGAGCCAGAATATCCACAAACCAGCCTGATGTCGGAGCTACCGAGTTCAACTACCACAGTGCTGTGACAAGAGGGTCCAGGGGGACCCAGCTCCCAAGGACTCAGACTTGGAGACCAAGGGCTGGAGGAATCCTGGTAATGAGCAAGGTCTAGCCTGAGGTCTGGCGCTGGCCACGGCCACTCCAGGACACTGACACTCACCCACCACCACTGCAGCTCCGTCAGGTCCAGGTCCTCATGGCTGCCGCAGACCCGAGTCCCTGCAGGAGCTCCTTGGGGAGTGGCTCCGCTTCCACCTTTGAACCCTTTCCCCAGAGTGCAGAGCTTTGAACTCTCTCTCCCCCATCTCTCCACATCTCCCCCCGCCCAATCTCTCCATGTCTCTCTCTCTCTTTCTCCTCCGTTATAATCTAAACTCCTCTAGGGCAGAGGTTTTCATCTCGCTTGGTCACGGCTGTGTCCCCAGCACCTACAACATACCTGGCCCAGAGAAAGTACTCACGAAATGTTTGGGAATAAATGAATGAAGGAAGAATGAATGCATTTGGGGATGCCACCATCTGCCACATGTCCCCAGGGTAGGGGGCGGGCAGTGCCGTCCTCTCCCACCAACATCAGCTTGGGTCAGAGAAGGAATAGGGTGCCACTGGGACACATCCCAGCCCTGTCCCTGAATGAACATGGAAGGACTTGATGTGTGGAATCCTCCCACATCCCGGGGACACACGTCCTCCCCATTCACCTCTGAGGTGTGCCTCAGAGGCACACCGACTTCCCAGCACCCAGCAGAGCTCCAACGCTCACCACTGGTCAAACCCTCAGCTCTGAGGTCGATATCCCAGGTCTGTCTTGGAAAGAGGGCTTCGGTGCCTCCCGTGGGCAGGCAACCCAGGGCCACAGCGTAAGGGGCTGCTGTGGGTTGCCCAGGAGAGCAGCCAGGGGCCCCCCAGGCCGCAGCAGCCCGGGGCAAAAGCAAAGCTTCAGGCTGCTCCTGCCTCCTGTCCTGGGGCAGGAGGAGAAAAGACCCGGCAGCTCATCATCCTTCCCCTCTCCCAAGTCCAGAAAAAGAGGGAAGCAGGAAACACTGGGCTTCGGAGGCCTTCCACCTGCCCCTCACTTGGAGGCTGCACCTGGGCTGCTGCTCAGGAAGGTGAGCTCAGCACCCAGAGGCCAGATGGCCCAGCGACAGCAAGCGGCTCCTCTGAAATGCCATCCGCAGGCCCATGAGCAGTGCCTCCCCGGGGTGACACCGCGGCCACCGTGAGGGACCCCTAGAGCCTCCCAACCCTGATGTTCTGCCTCCTACACTCCGGCTGCACAGGTTAAAGGGAAAGCTGCTCTACACCAAACAGGGGCCTGGAGAGGAAGCCCTGGGGGGGTGGGGGTGGGTGCTGTTGGTAAAGTTAGCACCACATCACACTGCACTTGATCCCTGAGAAGTTCCTAAAAGCCTTTTTTTTTTTTTTATTTCAATTGTATCCACTTATTTCAAAAGCAAGCAGACATTTTTTAGATCTAAAACCCTGGGATCCCATAACAGAAGCCTTAACTAAGCCAAATTCCAAAGGCCTGAGTTGAGCGATCTGTTGGTTCTTATTTTGTATGTTCCTATTAAAGGAGAGCAGTGTCGGAGGAAGGAGCTGGAGGGGCGTGGGTGGGTGTGGGGCGTGTTGGTTAATTAGCTTCACAAGTTGGAGCTTTTAGGGAGCTGCTAAGAAGCTGGGCAGACAGGCTGCTACAGCAACACAGGTCCCGGGGTCCTGGGGGGACTTCTGCCACCACACAATGCTTTCTGCTTCCCACATGCAGCCCCGGCCCCTGCCCCCTGTCAGCGGGCTCTCCACCTGTGGTCTCTGCTCTGTCCAATAACTGACCACACAGATAAGACACAGGAAGGACCAGGCTGGGCTGCCATGGTGCCACCTCCGACTGCGTTAGAGTGCCAAGTCCTCCCTCGACATGACTCAGGGACCCAACTCAGCCACAACGCACCTGTGATATTGTCGTAGCTCCGGAAGTTCATCTCGATGTGGTCCCACTCCAGAACCATGCAGTTCTCCATGCTGGGCTGCGCGATGGCCACGTACACGTCGTTCTTGGAGTTGAACGTGTCCACCGACACCGACTGGTAGGGCAAAGTCTGGTGGACAACAAAATCTGGGGATGGGCATTAAAAACAGTTCATGAGATCCGTAAACTCTCCTGTGGGAGTCATCAACCGCCCCTGCCCTTCTCTCCTTCCCATCACGGGTTCCAGAGGCCTGGGGAGGGAGCAGGAGTGTGGGAGTCAAGCAACGCATTCTGGAGGGTTTTACTCTGCAGATTGCAGAGGACCATCAGCTTCTCATGCTGCTTCCTGTGGATAAACAGCCTCATGGGTTTGGCAAAAGATAACACATTAAACAAAACTGGTGAGAGACCTGGCTTTCAACAAGCCAAGGCCAAGAGGAGGCTGCAGAGAGTCTCGAAGCTGTCATGCAGATTGCTCTGTGACCAGGGGGTGCTGTGGTCCACTCCAGCCCTCCCAGCACAGCCCTGCAGGAAAGCAGCCTGCTTCTGAGACTTACCTGGAGATCCCCTGTGGTTGGACGCACCCCAACAGCGCCCCCGCTGTTCAGAACTGACACTGCACTCCAGAGGGCAGCCGCCATCTGGAAACCAAACCAAGCCCTCCCCTGCAGACCCAGAGGTTTCCCAGCCAAGGGGGAAGTGAAACTACAGGTGCTGTCCTGGGGTCTGGACCCTGGCACACATTCTCCTGGTATTTCATGGTGAGTCAAGGATCCCTGTCTGGGTGGCTGCCCTGAGCCGCAGCTGACTTTCTGTATTATACCCGACTGGGGAGGGACATAGAATTGCCAAGGAACGGAGCAAGCATGCGCTTGGGAGCAAGGCTAGCTGGTGTGCAGAGTAGCTTCAGAAATGTAGAGTAGAAGGAGTCTGCTTAAGACACACACACACACACACACACACACACACACACTAATAAAGGTTGTGAAATAAAGTTTGAGCTACATTTTTGACCAGAGGTGCTGTAGTGTGTGCCACTATTTAATAACACGGGGCCATGATGGGTGCCAGCTAAGGAGAGTCATCCCTAGGAGGAAATCCTCGCATAACCCAGCTCCTTCTCACCCAGTGCTTAACCATCCCATTCCAGTGCCATGTACTCTGCCAGGCCTTCCCTAAGCAGCCCAATCCATGAAACTCGCTGGGCTGACCCTAGACACGATCGTTTAAATCTTATTATTTACCATGACTTCAAATAACATCTCTGGGGCTGGGGATGTGGCTCAAGTGGTAGTGCGCTCGCCTGGCATGCGTGCGGCCCGGGTTTGATCCTCAGCACCACATACAAACAAAGATGTTGTGTCCGCCAAGAACTAAAAAATAAATATTAAAAAACTCTCTCTCTCTCTCTTTAAAAAAAATAATAACATCTCTGTCCAGTCTGGAGATAAGAGTGCCCCGAGAGGGTGAGCACCTGGGCTTGGCCACACAGCCAGATTGATGTGTTTCCTGAACCAAGGGCTCCCAGAAGTCAGGCCTGGGTCCTACTCTGAGCCCCCTACAGCTCAAACCCACGGCGGCCACTCAAGAAACAACCACCGATTAGGAAGCCTCATCAGAGATGTCACTCAAGAAAGGCACCAAGGGGCTGCTCAGTAGTGAGCAAAGGAGGAGCAGAGGAAGGAAAGGAGACAGCAGCAGCTGGGCAGGCTGAGGTGGGCGCCATGGACCAGGCACAGGAAGGGCAGGTGGAGGAAAGCACCAGGGCTGAGGGGCGGGGCTGTGATGGGCACCAGAAAGCACAGGAAGGCCGATGATCTGAAACTACCAAAGACCCAAAGCTGGCCACATCACCCCCAGGTCTCATGCACTTGAATCAACCCCCAGGTCTCATGCACAACATGGGGCAAGGACATGGACCTCTCAGGCGAAACGGCGGGATAGATCAGGCCATGTGGTAGAAATGCCTATCTTAGCGCCCCACACGTTAATAAATGCGTTACTGAGGTCCAAGACGAGAGAGCAAGCTTCCAAGGCAGACCTAGCCCAAGAGAGGCAGTGTCCACTTTAATGACATCTAAAGTAAGATGCTGGCGCTTAACGGCCACCTCCTTGCAGAATGACCTTGAATAAATGCTCAACCCATCTCTGCCTCAGTTTTCTCAACTGCCCTGCCCTTACCTAGCACAAAGTGAACTTCAACAAGTTTACTTGAAGAAGTGCCCCCCCACGCTCTGGATGCACAGTGGATGCGTGATAAACTCTTTTCCGCTTAATGAGAGTGGGGGTGGTCAAGGCCGATTGTAAAGACTACCTCAGAGGGCATGCGGCGGAGGTCGGTGCCTGTGCAGGAAAGAGGGAGGTGGGAGGTGGGCCGAATCCCTGGGAACCAAGAGGGAGCTGCCTTCGCAGCCCGACAGGCCGGAGGTGATGGACAGTGGAGGGACGAGTGACCCTAGTGGACAGGGCAGCTCCCACCCCAGCAGCGAGCGAGCAGAGCATCCTGGTGAAGACAGACTAGGCTTTAGAGTCTATTCTGCTCAAGGTTAGCTGTGTGACCTTGAGCAAGAAGACGGAGCCTCAGGTTCCTCATGGTAAAATGAGAGGACGCCAACTTGCCAAGGCTGTGCCCAGTGCGGGCCTGTGGAGGCTGCTCCCGAGCTTTCTAGACCCAACCACCGCAGCACCTGGATGCTGCTGGAAGATGGAGGGAAGAGTCCCAGCCGCTCCAGGCCCCGCCCCGCCCACTCCTAAAGATCATAGTGCAGTTCCATCAAAGGCTAAGAACAGAGCCACCCCTGCTGGCACCAGCAAAGCCAGCGCAGGAGCCACCAAGCCTGGTTGACCTCACAGGCTTTGCTGGCTTCTGTGTTCACGCGTAGATAAACGAAAGAGAGGTATGCGGTGCGCCTTTTCTGGGGGATATAAAAGGATTCCAAATGCAGCGAGTTCTTTTAATTACAGCCAGGACGGCTGTAAACTCCTCTGCTCGTCTCTGGTTGCAGCGGGCTCACCGGAGCCTGCCAGAGGTTCTAAACACTCCCTTGATGGCCATAACTCATGCTCCGCCTTCCCATTAGTCTCCCAACTGCGCTCTCAGTTCTCAGAAACAGGAGCATTGGCTTTCAAATGCAGGCTGTTTAAAGTGCAGACCAGAAAAGTTTCCATTTTTATTGAAGAATCCCAGGATGAAAAGAGGTAGCCAGGAGAGCGCGCATTCTCCAGATCTACCCTTTAGCAGCCCCGGTTCAATTTATTTTTCCAAAACAGTGGTTTCCTCATATTTTCTCTATATTAACCGGCACAACACAGGCTGTTAAGTCCCTTGAATGACAAAGCTACTTCTTAGTAGAAGACACAGGCAGCAGCCCGCCATAAAAGGAGAAGACAGAAGGCAGAGAAGGAGGAAAGGGCAAAGGAAGCTCGTGGATGTGTGTACGTCTGTGCGCATCAGAGCCGCGGCCGGGAAGCATTCAAATATCTTCTCCCACCTCCATCTTAATTTACCTTTCCCAAGCCGCAAAGCAGAATTCTTGTGGAGACAACTCAAAGAACACACATCCTGACATGACATCAATCTACGGGTGTTGAAATATTAATGACACTCTCGGCCATTCACACTGGATTAAGTTCAGGATGTCAGTGGGTCTCTGACAATTTAGGCCTTTCTCCCCCTGGAAAATCAACAGATTTGTACGAGGCTATTTATAGCACTGGCAGAAAATAAATTATACATGATGCCTGAGCCTACGGGGAGAGAAAGTGCACATTAATGCATTATTTCTCTTTGCGTTTTCGTCAGCCCCCAAATGGGGAAGCTCCTAGGACAATTAGGATGCAAAGTTCACTCCCTCTAAGGAATTTAGTGAATCATCCACCTAACAGGGGCCATCATAGGTAGGTAACAGGGATTTTTGAGTAGTTAAAAATAGACTTGAAGGGGAGGCTTTGGAAGAACTGTGATTAATCGGAAGAGCCAGAGCACCCAGTGGTGGCTGCCTCGTGTTAATTAGTCCCCTTTGCCAAGAAACAGAGCCGTAATGGTGCCTTCCTCTCTCTGGGCCAAATGGGGAGATCTACTAGAGGACATTGTCTCCTTTCCTGAAAAGCTGAGCTAAGAGGAAAACAAGGCTCTGGGAAATCTGCTTCTTCCCCAACCTCTAGCAAGGAGACAGCAGCCATACCCTGAGCTGCCCATGGGCTTTGATTCTTCCATCGGTCCTTGTTTGCTCCCCAGCCTTTGATGAAGCACCAGAGACCTGGGCTTGACCTGAGCAGAAGGCAGGAACCCCAAACCTCCACAATTCACTCAACTCCTTCCTGTATCGCAGAGACTACATTTGGGGACAGTTTACACTTTGTGGTGCCACCTTTTCCAGATGGGAGAAACTGTAAGAGCTAATGTGTCCTTGAGTCTCAAAAAAAAAAAAACAGCAAAGATAGCACTGTCCTCTCTCTTTCCCAGAAAGCCCTATGCTGGCTTTCCAAACCGGGGCAGGAAGCTTGCTAGCAAAGACAAATACACACAAGACAGACATGGCCCTACAGGGTTAGGGGTCTCACGCTGCCCCTCGGGTTCTGTTTTAAGACCTGGCGGCCTTGGTTCCAAACCTTCTCCTTTCCAATAATCATTCTCAGTACCTGGGTCATTTTTATAACCATCTAGATGGTCCTAAAGCCAGGAATCGTGTTTTCTTGTATGAATGATTCCCTACTCCCAAGGTCCTCTGTGGCCCACGTCAATCCTCTCAGATACTGGCCAGTTTCCCTCCACTAGGGCCAGTTCAGTAAGAACAGAACAATGGGAGATGCTACCTTCACCTTGGGAATTAGAGAACCCCCCCCCCCTGAAAAACTAGATAAGAGGCAGAAAGGAGCCCCAGCGAGCTATGGTTTAGCATTTCATACTAAATGATCTCAAATGCCACCTTTTGGTGCAAATGTCATTGACTATGACCTCTGATTTATTGTACTGGCCCCACAGTACAATAAATAACCTCTTAGTGGCCTCAGCTGACTAAAGGGCACCTGCCAATTACACAGCTGAATAAGTCCCCAGTCAATGATGACGGACAGGGCAGACCCATGAGACCTCAGGCTTTCAATCAAAAAGAGAGAACTTGTAGGGCCCCGTATTTACAAACAAAGGCATCTAGCAAGAATTTTCACTTTGTGGAATTTTGTTTATCTGGGGGAGGGTGTTGGCAGGTTCTGGCCTCAAGATGATATTTTCTTCATGGAATTTGGGTGTCTTTTGAGTTTCTGCAACTATTTTCTGAGTTCTCATTCCTGCTGCTTCTGCTGACATGCCTAGGGGCTTTGTAGATACCAACTCTCAGCCTAAATGTTTATTTTTACAAACATCTAGAAAGCAGGTTTCATGCTGTGGATTGATCCTCTCTCCTTTAAAAACTGGCTTTAGAAGCGGTAGAGACTGTGCCTGCGCCTTTCATATGGAGATGCTCACCTGCTCTCTGCCTGCTGTGACAGTTGAGCCAGTTGGTATTTTGATTCTATTCTATAACCTGAAAAATGTTTAAACTAACACCCTGAGGCCAGGCCTAGAAAAACAAAACTGAACTTTACATTTTTCTCTCAATGATTTTGTTTCTTTTGATAACTTATATTATTTTTCTTTGGATAACTTACATTTTCTTCTTTGCTACTTATTATAATATACTTAGTGAGCTCTTCTTACTTGGAACTACAAGAGCATTTTATAGATTTAGAAGTCTGGTATTCAACTTCCAATAAACATTGTCTCAGTGAATCAGGAGAAAGGTAAAGACAAAATAATTCAGGTGTGTGACTGATTTCCCATGAAACAGAGACAGACTTGAAAGATGTTCTCATGCCAAACTCCTGAGTTTATATTTTGATCTTAAAAGAGAAAGAAAGAAAACTTTAGAGAACTCTGAATTTTGTAAAGAATCGAAATGAAAGCAGCGCAGTTAACAAGAATCTTTCCAAACAGTTGAGAAAGTTTGCCCACCACGTGGTCTCATTTCTTATAGAATGCTGGAACTTTCTCTAGCTTTGGTAGGAAACCTCTGCATTCTCATTTCCCAGCACCCTGTTGACAACCTACAAGGAAATCTAAGGGCTTGTTCTAAATGTCCACCTTTGGCAAGGCAGGTGCTGGTACCTGTGGTTGTGCACTCGTAGTCGAAGCTGGCCACCTCGTTCAGCTTCTTCTCCTGGTATTCTGGTGGACCAGAGCACAGCACGTCGGAGACGGTGGAATTGGTCATCTTCAACCACAGATACAACCACTTGGCTTTGCAGTCACATTCAAATTTATTACCCCTTAAATCCCTGGAAAGAGAAAGAGAGAGAGAGAGAGACAGACTTGATATGCTTTGGTAGTGACGTAGGTGTATTAACAGCCTGACATACTTTAAACTCCTTAAACACAGAATTTTTTAAAAGGGCATTTCATGCTTCCTATCTCTTCTGTTTATCATTGTCCTTATCTAGTGCTTCTTGGGGCATGATTCTAGCTGTATAATATACAGACAGTTCCCAGAAATGGCATGTCACCTTTCCTCCCACCCTCTTGAAATTGTCACCATGTGGAAATGGGGGAGGGACAATAGAAGGACACCCACAATGTAGGTTCCCCCAAACAAAACAGGATGTTATAGGAAGAAGCTCAAGATCCTATCAAACCATGTCCAGGAAGACGTGAGGAACACCACAAGATAAAGCAGATGGACTCGCTGTTTGGGAGAGTGGGGTCCTCCCGTCCAGCAGGCCTAACTTACCATTGGCCTAATGGTACCAAGTCTACTATCAAATGGCAAAATCCAGCACAGGGCAAACCGCACACGGTTTCCCAGGACGTACTACTTGCTATCGATGGTTAACGACAATGTAAAAGAAATGCAGCAAGAAGCAGAGGTGTTGGAAGATACGATTAACCCGGACCCCATGACAAGTGTACACAGACTTAATCTCATTACTTACAGTTCAATCAGAGAGTCTAAGTCACTGAAGACATCCCTTGGTAGCGCTTTAATGTGGTTATTGGCCAAAGAACTAGAAACAGAGAGTCACATTATAATGTGGTTATCATCTGCACGCCCTGACACTCTGAAGTCCCTGTAAATACAGTTAATGACTTAAATAGCTCTCGACCTCCTCATCACAGCATGGCTTAATTCCTGGCCTTGATCATCAGCACTGGGAGAAAGACATGAGCTCACTTACACAAAGATAACGTTGTAGATGTCAGATTACCAGGGAAGCCTTTTTGTGTATGTTATTTATTTATTATTAGTACTGGGAATTGAACCCAGGGTCACTTAGCCACTAAGCTACATCCCCAGCCCTTTTTTGTACTTTATTTAGACACAGGGCCTTGCTAAGTTGCTAAGGCTGGCTTTGAACTAATGATCCTCCTGCCTCAGCCTCTTGAGCCATTAGGATTACAGGCATGCACCACCGCACCCAGCTTGTGTTTGCTTTTAAAATAAGAATTTATAAAGCTGTTTATGCACATCTGTTAAACTTCAGATGGCTGTTTCCTGGAAAAGTCCCTTTGATGGTGTGCAGGACTGTCCCTGCTCACCTACGAGAGCACAACTCACACTGTTCAGATCTAGCCACATGACCTCCACGGGATTCCCCCAGCAGCCTCCAGGGCTGGGCACCTGTGGGACTGTCTGGGCCACTCTTCCCCAGACATAGGCACAGCTCAGTCTGCCTCCTGAGGTCTGCACTCAACTCTTCCCACCCTCCCTGACCTCTATACATCTCTCTTCCCGACTCTGTTGATCTTCATTGAAAGATTCTCATTGGCACGCTCCATATTTTAATTATTAGTTTATTGGCCATACACCCTCTACATACAGAAGCAACATGAACACAGAGATGATTGTCTGTCTGTCCCTAGCTATATTCCCAGTTCCTAGAACATTGCCCAGCACATGGTGGATTCTCAATAAATTCTTTGTTGAATGAATGAATTAAGCACCCAAGTGACAGTGATGACAGAAGATGGATATAGTCTGGCCCCAGGAGGTTCCCTAATAGTCCACCTAAGTGAATTCTATCACTTGTGACTCTATGAAGAACCCAATGTACACTCTTTTACATAAAGACTCTCAGCTGTAACACTCAAGAATAATATAATAAAAACTCAGTGAGTCATAATGTTTAGGGAATGACTGGTAATGGCAATTTCATTTTCTCGTTAACAAAGATTGAGGAGAAACTGTTGTGCACGCTTGTCCTTAGTGTTGAAGATCTTCCCAAGATGCCCTGGTCTATGCCCCACCTCCAGAAGTAGACCCACGTGGAAACATGAACTCCTCCTGAGGATTCAGGATCCTGCAATGCCCTGCTACCATCTTGCTGAAGGTGGACATCCATTATACAGGGCTGTCAATGGAAAGACGCTGGGAATCCAAACGCTGTCCATCAAGTCTGGTTTTGCCAACCCCCACGTGCTTGTGGGAGTCAGCTAAGAAACTGGTGCCTACTTTTGTTTTCTCTTATTAATTCAAGAACAAATGACAAAGCATAATTAATAGACAAATATAGCTGAAATAAGTTGTTCATAGCATCCTAAGGACCCACCCCACCAAGATGACTAAAGACATGTTGTTTCTTCTTAGAGTCAGTTAGCTTGGCGGACTCAAAAGATGTGCCCATTGTGTTTTTGTTTGGGTTTGATTTACTTAGGGTTTTTTTTTTTAATCATTCTTTTTTTGGGGGGTAGGTACCAGGGATTGAACTTAGGGACACTCAACCACTGAGCCACATCCCCATCCCTATTTTGTATTTTATTTAGAGACATGGTCTCACGGACTTGCTTAGTACCTTGCTTTTGCTGAGGCTGGCTTTGAACTCATGATCCTCCTGCCTCAGCCTCCTGAGCCTCTGGGATTACAGGTGTACACCACCACACCCGGCTTAACCATTCTTAAACCAAATAGTCTTCCTTCAATATGAGATTTGTAGTTTCTAAGTTGCACCCCTTCCCATCCATGTAACTGCAAATGGATTAAAATCCAGTTGCAGGTACTATTTTACATTTTTTTTCTAAATGATTTATATTTTGAAATGCATTGGGAAAGAGGCTGCAGATGTGATCAAACTGAACCCAGTGTAGAAGTAGCTTTTTGAACTTTAAAAAAGGGGGTGTTTTGATTTTTTATGGTGGATGATGGCTTTTTCTGGAAAGCAAAGTAAGAAAGGGTTTTGACTAATTAAAGGTTAATTATTGAGCTGAAAATTTTGGCTGACAGAAAGTTTGCATCAAAGGGATAAGAACATATGGAATACTAAAGCCACAGAAAGTGCATTCAGTGATCGTTCCAAGAATGCAATTTAGAGCTCCCAAAGCAGAATTATTTAGAGGGTCATCCACCCCACTCACACTAAGTGCTTAACATCTCCCTCCCTACTTCATTTTGTCTACAAATTCATGGCACTTACTTCATTTCTGAAACTATTTAACAGCTCTCTGTCCCTCGGGCGTTACAGGACTGCTGAAAACCAATGTCCTAGATTTTAGTTACAGATTGGCCTGGCTTCTCAATGCTCTGAAACCTGATCTATGTTTTTTTACATGTGAATGTGCATCTGAAGGTGCTGGGGGGAAAAATATCAGATCTCTAATTTAAACAGGCCAACTTCAAGCCACATTGTCCCGGGCGCAAAAGTGAACTTCAGAGCTGGTGTCTTCTCTTCATTAGAGGTTTAATAAAAACGGAAGGAGGGGGACCAGCTCATTCATTAAACACTGTACCAAATGTGTTTATTTCTAAATACATCTTCAGCCTAGAGGAGCAACTTTAACGTCACCAGATTTGCCTGGAAGTACAGGACACACTAAAAAATCCAGCTCTGTAAGAAATCCACTGCTCAACCAACTAATCACAAAACGTTTCCTACAGGATTTGCCCTGAACTGGACTCTGAGGGCTTGTGGAAGGTGTGCAAGGGCTTTGTCCTAAGGGGGCTTCCTCCCTTGCTGGGGAGCCAGGACCAGCATCGTGAAACCTTAGCCAGGGTGGCTGGTGTAGAGCATAACAGTGTGTGTGTGTGTGTGTGTGTGTGTGTGTGTGTGTGTAGCCAGCAGAAGGGGGGACAAGGGAAATCAGGAAGCACTTCATGGGGGAAGCGTTTGGACTTGATTTATACTTTGAAGGAGAAGGCGTTTCTAGGAAATTGAGGACAGAAGAAGTAGCATCGCAGGCACGGGGAAGGGCGTGAGGGAAAGCCCTGTCATAAGATGAGTGGGGCATGCGGGGGCACACGGAGAGCCTCGTGTTCTCAGGATGTCCAGGGTACTGAGGCTGGAGAGCTAGAGGGGGGCCTGGGGATTTCCCCCTGCCTGCTTCCCCTCCAATGCATCTAGAATACTCTGGACCCACGTGGAGGATTCCCTCATTCTTTCTGAATTTGCGCTCTCTGGATGTCACACAGAGAAGGAGGTATGTCTTGTAAGCATGCACATAGGATAACACGTGAAATAATTCACAGGCATGCACACGCAAACAGGCATGCACACACATATCAATGTCCATGTACTCACAGGCGCACAAGCACAGAGATAGCAAATCCACACTCAGGACCTGCCAGGGTATGTACGCCCTCCCCAGAGGGAGGAACAGTAGCCAATTGGACAAATGAAGTGGCCATCTGGACTAAGTCAGTCACACAGGCTTACTTAAAAACAAAGCCCCTCAGTCCTGACTTCTGGGAGCCAGGCTTGCCCTCTCCAGACACCTCAGCTGTCCAGTTAGAAACCCCGTGTGGACACCCAATCTTCCAAGGCTATCTAGCAGTCCGTGGAGAAATTGAGACTTAATGAGTGGAAGGCGGGTACCACGTTTATTGACGATGGTGTTGAGGTCCACCGTACCTCGAGCGTTCCCCATGAGGAATGGGCTGGGTGCCACCAGCGTCATTACCTGCAGCAACCCTACGAAGTCAGCACGATCATCCTCTTATCAAGAATAAGGAATATGAATCAGTGATGGCCTTGAGGTTTGAGCCCAAGTCTATGGAACGCCAAGCCCATAATCTTAGCCTCTACAAGACTGTAGGGATCTGGCGTCTAGACTGAATCGGAAACAAGTCAAGGCTTTTATAGGAAGAAAAGGAAACCTGGAGGCAGAATGTCAAAGAGAACCTGCGCTCTCCAGCATGGCCGGGTGGATCCAGGTGTCCTGTCTCTCACTATGGCACCCCACCTCCCTGCTCCAGAAACCCCCTGCGGAGTTCTGCCAGGTAGCCCTCCAAACAGGGCTCCCTGTGCCCAAGACAGATCACTCCCCCCGGCCCCCCGGCCAGCATCGGGGCTTGATGTGATGGCTGTCTCGAAGACCATTATCTGTCAGGGTCACACCCAAAGGTACTGCCCTCCCTGCCCAATGTCCACACCCAAAGCCCTTCAGATTTCCCAGTGCTGATGAGACCTGTCATCTTCCTCAGACACAAAATATCAAGCGTGCCAACGGAACCTGGCTCCTGCCTAATAAATCACCCTCACCAAGACAAGGACTATTTTTGCATTTTCATAAATACAGCCACTACTTTTTTCTAGTTTTATAAATTTGCTCAATGTGTGTACTTGCTTCATTTTGATATGCCAATTCAAATCAATTTAATATTTTTTTTTTGTCTCCAGAAAGCTATTAAGGAATCCGAGAGCTTAGCTGAACCCGCAGATTAATCCAACATAAAAGAAAAAGTGATTTGCATTCAAATGAGAGGAACCGTGAAGATGTCTCTGTTCTGCTTGGTCCTAATTCTGATCACATATTTAATTTTTTTTTTTTTTTAGTTATAGGTGTTCACAATACCTTTATTTTATTTTTATGTGGTGCTGAGGATCGAACCCAGCACCTCACGCATGCTAGGCGAACACTCTACCTCTGAGCCACCACTCCAGTGCCCTGATCCCGTCTCTGACATTCTGTAAGGAGTTATTTATGCCTCAGTTCTCAAATCTGTACAAGGGGGACTCACAGATTATCACAGAAAAGAGAGGAGAAGGCTCATAGGCCCCCAGCCCTGTACTGACACAAGTAGGTGCAGGACGGATGTTAGCCCCCTTGCTGTTTCCTCCACCCAGCCGTGAGGCCCCTCACAGCTCAGGGCTCCTCACTTCACGTGACCCCAACTGTGATGCAGGGGATGGAGAAGGTAATTAAGCCAAGTGTTGGTAACCACAAAGAGCACGGTCTGCTCCACAGCAGAAAACCTGGGCAGCCAGGAGGTGAGTCTCCTTCGGGGGACGTTGCAGTATGGAACTATGGAGACAGAGACACATGCCAGGGCCAGTCCTACTCCACACATTAAAGGACGGGTGACATTTGCTACAGGACTTACAGGTGAGTCAGATCCCGGAGGCCGCGGAAGGCATTTCTTGAAATGGTTTCTATTTTGTTCCCTTCGATGAACCTAGGGGAAGAAAGTCGCATAATTCAACTGAATTTCCTCTTCTGAAAATGTCTAAAAAAGTGATCCTGGTATGATTCTGGAGAAAAATCTAGAAGCATTCATGAATCATCACGTCTCTGAAGACTAAGTCAGTCGCAGCAAAGTCCACGTGGGAGCAAGGCACACGAGCGTGTCTGCACTCCCTCCTTCCGGACAGCACGGAAGTCTTCAAACTCAGAGTTGGGGTGGGGTAGGGAGTGCATGGGACAAAGACAAGAAATGCTCATCTCCGCGAGACCAGAGAGCTTCCAGACATGCCCCCAGCCAGCTCAGCTCTGCTTGCATTTCACAGTGCCTGGCTGTCCACAGTATCACAGTCTCTTGAGGAGACTCCAGTGTTCTACATGGTGCTATTAAAGTTTTTGAGGAGGGAAAGTTCCGTTAAGCTTGTCTCCCAGTAACCTTGAGCTCCTGAGGTCCCACCCTCCATGTAAATGGGTGAAGAGGCAGGGATCCTTTCCAGATCTGTGCCAGGAGGAATAGGGAGTGTGCTGAAGTTGAACCAGGGCTGGCTTTCTCTATCTGTGCTAAAATGGTGCAGGGCTTGCTCATAGAATCTTGCAACCATCACACTGGTGGTGCTTTAAACTCTGTGGGGAAGACAGGGCGTGAGTGTACTGTGACGACTCCCCAGGGCCACAGAGAACTAAGTTTTAGTTTATGGCTTTGCATTACGTCAACTATCAGGGGGCCTTTGATGAGGCGGTCCAAGAAAGGGGCTTTGCTAGATCTGTGAACGGGTTCTTGATCCTCACACTGAGAACTTTCTGATGCCTTAAAAAAATAAAAAAAGAATCTGGGGTCTCTTTAGTAATAGACTACAGCATAAACTGACAAGCTCACTTCCTCCCCAGTGACCTGGCCACTGAGATGAACTGCCTGCTGGGAAAACTCACAGCTTCCCCTTTGTACCTCCCTCGCCAAGTGTGTGCCTTCAGAGAGGCTGGGGTTGGCTGGAATTAGCAACGGGGTCCTGCCGTTCTTTCCATATCACGTACAAGCCAGAGTACCACATGATCACAGCATCCAAATCACATCTACTCTGGGGGAAGAATTCCTCATTCCCCAAGACCCCAGGTCAACAGAAAGTTTCCCTATACCCAGATGTGTCTAGAATTCCAACATCTACCTGTTGACATCAAATAAGAAAGCCTTAAAAATCCCTCTGAATGCTAAGTAAGGAAATCCTATCTGATGGCAGGGTTAGCTTTATGACAGATTTACGGAATACCAGAGTGAAAGAATTTAGGGGGAAAAAGACATGGTGTCCTGGTGCAGAAACCGGAACAAGGCAAAGTTTGTTGCTAGGAAAAATAAAAATAAAAACTACACATCCAGAGAGCAGGACAATCACCTTTTTTTCTTATAGAGGGGAAAAGAAAATACAACTCAGCAGAATCCACAGGAAATACTGCGGAATACGGGACATGGAAGAGCTGGATAAAGAACAGAGTTGTACCCCCAAATAGGGAAACTTTGTTTAAAAATAAGTAACCCTCAGAACCCTTCATCCCTATTTCTAACTGATCAGCAAATCCATGCCTGGTTATGAGAGGTAAAAATATCCATCGCAGTTTCCAATTTTGCTTACTCCACCACAAATTAAATGTCACCAGAGAATGAATGAATGTCTTTCCCTCTTTGTTTGCTTCCCCGCTCTTTGTCTCCAGCCTCCCCCAGCGTGTTTACAAGCAAGGAAACTCTCAAAAATTGGTGCAGAAAAGAGAGTAGGGTTTACTTCACTTGAAGACCCACCAGAGATGCTGTCCTAGCTTAGGACACAATCCAGCAAGCCACCAAGAGACAGAACACTCTGGGAGCAGACAAATCACCACACTTACAGGTATTCCAAATGGAAAAGTCCAGCAAATGCATCGTCACGGATCACGGTGAATGAGTTAGAATTCAGCAGTCTGAAAATAAGACAGATATCAAGGCAGAGACGCAATGCCCGAGCCACGTGATACAGCCCTTTCTGTTTCTTTTGCTGTGTTCTGATTTGTAGGCAAACCTGGGCTGTTCTCAGCCCAAGAGCAGCGCATTAGGTCCCCAGCCTCATTTCCACACTACTGATACAGGCGATAGGGAGTGGGTTCCTTTTGGCCAGATTTTCTGGTCATTTCCAATACTCTACACCTCTCACCCCTGGGTTTCTCAGTAAATATGAGCTGATAATTCTAAGGTGAGGCACAGCTGAATAGCTAGGGAATGCTTTATAATACACAAGAAACCATAGAATCATAGACCTAGAAGGATCTCATCCAACTTTATTTTTAGGGAAATCCAAACCCAAAGAAGTTTAGTGATTTAACCAAAGTCACACAGTTGGCGGTGGGGGGAAGTCCCTTCTACTACATTATACATTTCCATGAAAAATGTCAGAAAAGTTTAAGAAGTCTTCAGAAGACTCTTCATCATTATATAGTTTTCTATTTGGTAAAAGTCTATCTAGTCTATAGTAATCACTTAGAATACCTAAATTTATATTTATACTCCTACCATGGTAGAGAAAGTTCATTCTAATATCATTACAATTCTAAGAGAATTCAGCTTTAAAGCATAATGTTGTAAGTAGACACATAACACTTCAAGAAAAAGTATCCACAGTCCGTTTATTTAGGAGGAGGAATGATCTACATTTCTGTATATCTTTCTGTAGCTCATTGCTTGCTTTAGTTTACAATCTCATCTCAAATTTATGAAACTAATATGATAAAGAGAATGAGCTGTGTACTTGACTTTTTCTGGCAATGATCTGCTTTGGAAAACTGCTTTTTGGACATTTGTCTTCACTAACAAACATTAGCTGACCTGGGTTATGGGTACTGCACGTCACTTATCACAGTGACCTGGGCATTGCTCACCAAGAAGTGCTGGGACGAAGAGTAGTTATGAGTGAGGTCTTTGAGTTTTGGGTTAGAATCTGTGATTTTTTTTTTTTTTGGCAAGTTACTTAATTCTCTGACCTCAGTTTCCTCATCTGTCAAATGGGAAAATCAAAATACCCTCTTCAGAGAGATGATATGCTCATGAGATATAATGAAGCACATAAATGCATACTACGTTCTTGCCTGTTTAATGGATAAACTAGAAATGCTCCTATTTCCAGGGTAATATTAAGACCTTAAAAAGTAAGTTTCTTTTAAAGTGAGATGTTTGGGGAACACTTCATTCTCATCATGATTGATGTAATCACCTGCCCAGTTGCTGAATCTGGAAGTCGAATCTACAACAAAGACCTGGAAGACAGCATGGACCAAAGTCGGGAGAGGACCTCCTGGAGCAAGGAGCCTTGATACTTTGTTGAAGATACCCTGGGGCCAGTGCACCCCAAGAGACAGCTAGGGGATTTCAGGAAGGACTGACACCAAAGAGGCAGAGACCACCCTTCAAGGACCACACTTCAGGGAACCCCATTTTGCAAAGAGAACTTTCCATACTTACAGCAGCTGCAGGGAAGGCAGATGGGAAAACATTCGGTCCTTGATTTCTGAAAAAGTTCCATTTACTAAGCTCCTACAGGCAAAAAAAGAACAAAAGAAGGCCTGGGTTTCTTTCAGGAAGTGCGGGCGGGGTGGACAATCCGCCTGACCCTCCACCTGCACTTCAAACTCTTCCTCTCAATGAGGCTTACCACACGAGGCCATCAGCTTCCCCGGGGGTAGGAATAGGAAGAGTGGGGCCTCTTGCCAATGCATTTGATCAATATGAAAACTAGTCTGGATACTAGACACCTGCACCATCGGTCTGGCTTCCTTTAGAGACATTAGCTCAGTCAGCTCCAATCAATCCCCGGGCTTCCTTTGCTTAACTACAGGAGGCCCCGTCTGCAAATGGATAATTACTTCACCTCTGCCCAAGATTCTGTGTGTGCAGACACAAAGTTAATGTTGGCCCACGAAACTCTGGGGTAGAATTAAGCATTCCCCTTGGGAGCATGTCTCTGAAAGACACTCAGAGCACTTCTGATTAAATGCACCGTGAAAGCCTTGAGGGAAAACTCAAAAGACACCTGAACTCCACTGTGCGGGGGAGGCAATGCCATCTGCCAGATGAAACGGTCAACTCGGGGGCAAGAAGCTTGGCTCTAGATCTGCCCCCAGGTTCCCTTCCCTTCCTGGCCACAGCAGGACTTCAATACTTTATTTCTGTTAACATGCAGATCAATTAAGCAGCTGCTGGTTTAAAGGATTTAACAAGGGGAATTCTAATTTCTGGAATCCTCCATGTCACCTGACTTGGCAACAGTAAGAATCAAACAAGCCTTCTGTTCTTCCAGCCACACTCTCCTGACTTCCTATAAATGCAAACAGGATGCCCCTGCTCCTAGGTCCAGGCCCGGGTCTGGCCTTGGACAAAGGCAGGGGAATGTTGTACATGAGCAAGCACGGTAACGTCACTCTCAGGACTCCCTCTTCTACAACCCAGGGGGCACCCCAGCACCTGGGCCTGCAACAAGGGAGATGTCCTGGTAGTAGATATGGCCCAAGAGCCCTTCCACAGCCATTAGGACGGCTAGTCATTGGACCTGAGTGGCTGTATGACCCAAGTTGAAAGCCTCTCTTAGCAGGGGAACAAGCAGTGCCAAGCTCTTCCTAGTCATTCACTCCAGAGCTGGAAAAGCAGGCAACACAATGTGAGGGGAGGAAGGGCAAGAAGACCCTTGGACTTCAAACAAGAACTGGGCTGACTTCCTGCCCTTGACACTGAGCTGGACAACCCACATCCCGGGGCTCCGCCAAGATCTCGGAGCCCCCTCTTCAGGCCACGTGGGGTGGCCTCCACTTCCAGAGGCTGCATGCCTTCCCAGGCTCTTCTCAACCTGCAGTGTGGAGGGAGGAGGAGGCCACAGTGCCAACCTCAGCCCCACTGTGAGGTGGGGCAGGGAGACTCATCGAGTCTTAGTTTGCACCCCATCCAGTCGGGTTCTGCTGCTCCTCTGGCAACCACACACCCACCACCCCACAAGCACAAACACATCCTGTCAAAGTTTAACGCTGCAACCCAGAATCACAAGTGGACGCCAAACGCCGACCCTCAGGCTCCACTCCACAGACCCTACCTCTCCATGGGCCCCAATCCTTCACTGTCACCAGATCCCCCAGGTGGGACTGATGCAGGTGGACCGCGGGCCACACTTTGAGAAATACTGTCACGGGGACCTGACTGGGTTTCCAGACTCTAGAGCTCAGGGTCCCTCCATCCTCCTGGGAACCGAGACTCCACCCACGTCCCTAGCGCTCCCGCACCCAAATGCCAAAACAGGGACTGCTGAGAGGGGTCCGGCGCGCTGCCCCAGCGCCAGAGGCAACTCCCTGGCGGCGGCGGGCACAGGGTGGGGCGGGGTGGGGGCTGGAGGGGTCCCACTCACAGGGAGCTGATGTCGCCCGGCACGATCCTGGGCACCCAGGAAGAGCCCACGCAGATGATGGACTCCTTGGTACAGCTGCAAGTGGCGGGGCAGCGCGCCAGCCGCCTCACCTGCGCGCTCCGCGGGATCAGGCACGCGGCGCCCAGCAGCAGCAGCAGCAGCAGCCCCAGCGCCCCGCCGCCGCCTCTCCGCAGCGCCATGCCGGGTCCCCGGTCCCCGGCCCGGCCCCGACCCCCGCCGCCGCGCCGCGCGCTCGGACCCGGCGCCGCTGCAGACCCGGGCGCCGCTCGCTGCTCGGCCGCCGCCGCTGCTGGCGAGGACGCGGGCGCCGCGGGTGTGGGAGGCCGAGCCGCAGCCGAGCAGCATGCTGGCCGCCACCCCCACTCGGCGCCCCCACCCGAGCCCGGGCTGCTGGGCGGCCGCCGCCGCTGCGCCCGCCGCACTCGCGCCCGCCTGACATCAGCACTCGCGCCCGCAGCCCCGCTGGCCAATGAGTAGCGCACGGCCGGGCCCGCCCCGCGGGGGAGGGGGCCGCCGCGCCCCGGAGGGCGACAGGGAAAAGTTGGGGGACCTCCGGGGAGGGGCCAGCCCGGACCGAGACCCCTTGGGAGTCTGACCGAACCGCAGAGGATCAGATGCCCGCAGTCCCTCCACGGGCTGCAAAGAAGGTGGGGGAGATCTAAGTCCTTAAAGCCTGGCCACAATGTGAGCCCCAAAAAGTAGGGACAGGGAGAACTGGCGTTCAGTGGGGAGGGGACTCTGCCCCGGGAGCTTTGAAGAGTCCAGACTTTTGAGCAGCCTTTAGTGATTTTGAAGTGAGCCGTGGGGCTCAGCGAGGGTGGCTTTGCTTGTCTTCTGAGAGGGCACTGGGTTCTGGCTCCATGGCATCTGGTTACTGGAACCAAGCGCTCGCCCAAGCTGAAGGCTTGTGGAAAAGGGAAGTCGCCACAGCTGTATGCGCCTCTGTCACTCTGGGCCCTGCCTGAGCTTGACAAAAAGCCTGCAAAAGTTTTCCCTCACTCAGCAAGGTGGCTTATCCGGCAGCCCACCACCCCACTAAACAGGGGATGCAAACTGATGGGAACCCGGGGCGTGATGCGTCTAGGAACTGCTGCTTAATCTTTGCTGATGGTTTGAGGCAGATTGATTTGCTGATAAGGAAAGAGCCAGAAGGCATCAGGACAGGGCCTGTGGTCTAAGTGATTTGGCCTGGGATGGGGATTGGTTACCTGGCCCCACTGAGTCCCTTTGGCACTCCTTGAGTTTGTCATGTGATCTTGAGTTAGCCCACAGCTGGGGAAATCAAGGAAAAACACAAAGCAGAACCCAAACAGTGGCCAGTAGCCCACACTGCTGAATGGGGGGGGGGGGGTCGAGAGCCCCATCCTGAGGCTACAGACCAAGGAAACCACTTCTGATATGGAGCAATACCCAAGAAAGGCCCAGCACCAAAGTTTAGGGCTATTACTTCTTCACAATTATTTATAGCACCATCCCCCAGGAAAATACCACACCAGAGCACTGTGAGAGGGGACAGAGGAGCAGGCCCTATCTTCAGGGAGCCTGAGTCTAGCTCAGCAGGTAGCCCTAAAGGAGTAACTGTACAGGGCTACATGGAGGGCACAGACCTTCCAGAAGAGGTTCAGAAATGTAAGGTGAACTCACTGTAGGAAACTTCATGGAGGGAGCTGGATGTTCATTGCGGCCACCTTTACCCGACACCTCGCATCCATGCAAACCGAGCTACATTTATCATTTATTCTCACATCTACCCTGGGAAGTGAGTCTTCCCATTTTATGGATAGGAAAATTGAGCGCCAAGATTTTTTTTTTCTTGCCCGAGGTCACTCAGGACCCAGCCAGAAGGATTATACTCCAAAATTGGCTGCTGGGTCTGGGGACAGCAACAGATACAGGGACCCAACATCATGCATGTGTCTTTCTAAAGAAGGGGCTGCTGCTTTACAGAGTGGTAGAGATGAGGCTTCACAAATGTAGCACTTCCTGCCAACCCAGGACAAGAAGATCTGCATTGAAGCCTGCTGGAGGTCCAGGGAGGTAAGTGGGCTCTGCCCCAGAACCAGACAGGCCTAGGTTTGGCACCCAGCCTGCCGTGTACTACTATGTAATGCTGAGAAAGCCAGGCCCTCTCTGTCCTCTGTTTCCTCACCTGGAAAAAGGGAGCTTTCCTGGCTCCTGAGCCTGCATTTTAATCAAGGTCTGGGTCACAGTCTAGCACCCTGGTTTTCCATTGAGCATGATACAGGTGATACTTGGCCATGTCTGGATGTATTTGTGATCGTCACCGAGGGGTGGTAGAAGCCAGGGATGCAGCTGAACATCCTAGAGTACACAGCAAAGAATGATCTGGCCCACAATATCACTAGCATGTGGCCTAGTGACCTAAACAGATCCTTGGAGAACTCTAGAGGCACAGATTCCAGGCCGGGCTCCACTTCTCACAAGCAAACCCTCCTTCATGTCATTCCCACCTCCTGCTGCTCTTCCCTTACCTGTTTCATGGGGATAAAAAGACTTCTCTCTCTTCTCTAAATAAATGTGACTCATCATCATTATTACTGTCCTTACTCTCGGCAACTCAGGCCAGCTCTGGCTCATCCTAGAACACAGTGCGGAGAGAAGCCTGCAGTAGGGAGCTGGCAGAGCTGGTATTTGTTTCGGCTCTGCTGAAGACACTCAGTAAGCGAGTGCTTGTAAATTATAAGGCGCAGTTTATAAATTAAGATATAAAAATGGAAATGCAGATGACTTTGGTTTGGTTCCAAGATCTTCAGCAGTTTTAAAAAAAAAAACTTAATAGACAATCAGAGAGACACAATCTGTTTCCAGGAAATAGCAAGTTTTTTGAAGATGTAGAAATCCTCATTTAGATGTACACTTACTCAGGCGGAGCCCCGTGACATGAATGCACGTTGCTACCTTGAATATGGATGAAATGGTAGCTCAAAATAGTATCCAATCATGCACACTCACATTCCGCTGCCTGTCCGTTCAGTGGTCAGTATAGACTGAGAGGTTGCTAGGTGCTTGCTGGGCGTCCATATGAAGCAATGGCAAAGACAGACATGGTCCCCACCTTCATGGGAGACACATGCGATGACAAATGATGGTAGGATCCATGAAGGAAGAGAAAAGGGGAGACCCTCGTTGAGTGGAGGGAAGGTGGGGCTGGAAGCCTGACTGAGGACTTCACTGAGCATGAGGAGGAGAAGGAGCCAGGGGAGAGGCAGAGGCTGAGGAAGGGGCAGTGTCCTCAGAAAGCAGAGCATGTGCAAAGGCCCAGGACCAGGAAGAGGTGCATGCTTGGAGGGATTCAAATGAAGGCCAGGGTGGCCAGTGCACAGAGAAGGAGGGAGAGGGAAAAGGTGAGATGAGATCTGAAAGGTAGGGAGGAACTAAATCACGCAGGACTTGTAGGCCAAGCAAGGAGCCTGCCTGTCGTTCTAAATGCCATAGGGAGTCCACCTCTCCCATCAAAGAGGCATGATGTCACGTGTGCTTCAACGTGGTTATTCCAGATGATCAGGTACAGAATGGGAGGAACTAGTCCTGGAGAGAGATGGTGCAGCTGGGGCACAGTGGGCAGCAGAGGAGATGCAGAGTGGTGTGCGCTCAAGGTGCAGCTTGGAAGGAAGATCAGCAGGACTCCGCATTGGGCTGAATTTTGGGGGAAAGGTGAGTGAAATGTCCATGGGTGTGGGCTAGAGCCAGCGGGTGGCTGGAGGAGCCATCTCTTAAGACAAGGAAGCTTAGAAGAGCAGAGGGTTGGGGGAGAGCGGTATGGGGAATGTGGTATTGGGAGGTTGAGTTTGAGGTGACCTCGAGGCACCCACAGGCACAGGTGGAGCTCAGGGGTGGAAAGAGGAGCTGGCATCATGGGAATGTTCACTCCAGGGGAAGCTGTGGTCCTTCCTCGGGAAGCCCAGGCTGTAATGTTGGCTGATGGAATGAAGAAGTGACATTTCAGAAATCCCAGACATGAGGGACAAGATCCATCCCAGGTACAGTCAGCGAGGAACGGCAGAAATTTTACAGAAGGCGGTGAATCTAAGAATACTGCAGTTTGGGAAATCTATTTTTAGATCACAGATCATCTTCAAATCCTCAACCAAACTATGAATCTTGTGAGAATCTTCAAGACTCCATCAGGCTGTTAATCCCCCTCCCCTACTTTCCAACCAAATCCCACCTCCACCCCCGGCCTGGTCCCCTCACCAGGACCATAAGCTTCGGCTTCAGAGGGCCTTTGCTACTGCCCAGTGCCTCTGGCTTCAATGCTTACTGTAACAACCGAATAGAAATCATTCATCCAAACCTCAAAGTTATTTCCTGGTTTGAATGAATACAGACTAGATTCCCTGGGGTTAAAAAAATTTTTAAAAGCCTCCCCCACACCCAGAGTTTGCCAATCCCTCTCTGACCACATCACCCTGATATGCCACTCTGTGGTTGGCTGCTGGTCAAATGTGGATGCGGTTCCTGGCTCCCCGTCATTTCCTCTCCAGAACTTGGTGGTGTCAGAGGCTGGAGCTCGTTTTGAAGCTGCCCCTGATAGCCTCTTGAATTCAGTTGTGTTCTTGAAGGGCTGCCAGTATGCATTCTTCCTGAGTTTCCTAAGTCAACGGAAAGACCCTCGGGACCCTGGTCACAGTTCCAGTGACCTTTGTCAACTCCTCCACCAGCATAAGGGACTCCTGTTAGCTCATGCCAGCTGCACCTTCTCATGGAGACAGGACGCCATCTTGCCTCGGAGGGAATCAAGCCTCCTCCATGTCCAATCCAAGGGCCTCACTTGACCAACACCTCCACATTCCATTGTACATCTCAGCTGGACTATAGCATTCCAGAACATTCCAATCCCCCAGCCACAGTGACTGGTTTAGATATGAATACACCACCCAGCTGGGACAACCAGGGCTAGCAAAATCCCTTAACTGGGATTTTTCTTGAAATGTTGGGAACAGAGTCTCTCTGTGCCACTGACCTGGGAGCTGTGTGACGTGAGCCTGCAAATCTACATAGAGAGGCCCCACCTGAGAGGGATCTCAGGGGTGTTGCTCACGTCTCAAATCAAGCCTACCCTTCAACTCTTCAGTTATGTGAGGTAACACGTGGTCTCTGATGCTTAACTTCTCTGAATCTGGGTTTTGGCCCATTGCACCCAAACAAATCCTAACTAATCCACTGAGTTATCATCAAGAACAGAGGCCATACGCAGTGACTGAGATGAGCAACTACCACAACTGTCTCGCCACATGCTCCCCCCCAATTTTATGATGTCCTTTCCTTTCCCCTTGCTCAAGAAATTTTGAAATCCTGCCTCCCCTGCACATGCACACTTTTTTGTTTTGTTTTGTTTTTA